ATTTATTTGACAGAAACAGCAAGTGAGGGAACACAAGCAGGGTGGGCGGGAAAGGAAGAAGCAGGCTTCCTGCTGAGCAAGGAGCCCAGTGCAGGGCTCGATGCCAGGACTCTGGGATCATGACCCAAGCCAAAGGCAGACTGAGCCACCCAGGCGCCCTTCACTTTCCCCCTTTAAATACCACCCCACCCACTGCTGCTCTGTCCTGTCCTCTGCTCCCTTGCCGTATTCCATACGCTTCTATCTCCTCTGTTCTGCCTGGGGTGAAGCCTTTCACGGCTCATACCCAGCTTCCACGATCAGTAACTCCCCATTTGGAGGCCCCTATCTGATAGGGAGAGACAGGACATTCTCCCCTCCATTGGGTGTGAGAAGGATCTGTGGCGGGCTTCTAAAACCAGTAACGTACAGCACAGCAGGGCACAGGTGAAAGATACATGATAATGTGTAAGTGATTATTTCCGACAAGGTTGTAATATCCTCACTTCCCCTTACTGGCATTGATGAGTGAGCAGAAGCCTGGCTGAAGACTAAGGACAAGCTGACACCTGCCTCCCACTCCTGGGTGGGGCACAGGTGACATTCTTCCAGGAACCTCCCAACTCTCTTATTGTTAATGCCTTGCTAGAGAGGAAAACAACCTTAACTTGACAATGGCAAGGCCTCTGGTATCTTGCAGGTCTCCTGAAAGTCTTTTGAAACCTCCCTTTGCCTTACTTTCCCAACTCCCGAGTATGTAATCACCATTTCTCAAGATCCCCGAGCCGCAGCTCTTTCTCTCTTTCTGCTCATGGGTCCTGTCCCCGAGCTTTAATAAACCGCCATTCTGCACCAAAGACATCTCAGGAACTCCTTCTTGGTTGTTGGCTCCAGACCTCACCCCACTGAACCTCACCTATATTCCAAAACCACATCAGCTTTGAGGAAGAAAGTCCACGTTGGAAGGCCCATGTGGCAAAAAACTGAGGGCAACTGATTGCCAGTCAGATTGCAAAGAACTGAGGCTTCAGTCCAGCAGCCCTCAAGGACCTGAACGCTGCCAGTAACCACTGAGCTTCCAAGCAGAGCTTTCCCCAGGCCAGCCTCCCAGGACACTGCAGCCTCGTGATTCATTTTGTGCTGATGTTCCCACAGTAACAGATAACTAATACATCACCCCTCACCTTCCAATCTCTTTGCTCCTGCCACTCTCTACCCTTTCTCCTGAATCATCAATATCTCATTTTCCATTTGGTCACTCACACCGACCCATAAACATGCTCTAGAGTCTGCCATCTTTTTTTTTTTTTTAAGATTTTATTCATTCATTTGAAAGAGAGAGGAGAGCATGAGCAGGGGAGAGGGGGAGAAGCAGACTCCCCTGCTGACCAGGGAGCCAGATGTGGGGCTCCATGTGAGTACCCTGGGATCCTGACTAGAGCCCGGGGCAGATGTTTAACCAATTGAGCCATTAAAGATTTTGTCATAGAGAGAGAAACAGAGAGACAGAAAGCCCAGCCGGGGGAGCAGCTGGCAGAGGGAGAAGCAGGTTCCTGGCTGACCAGGAGGCCAGATGCAGGACTAGATCCCAGGACCCTGGGATCATGACGGGAGCCAAAGTCAGACACGTGACCTTAGAGTCTGCGGTCTTAAAAAATACTCTTCCAATGCCTCTTACCTGGCTAGTTATCACCTTGTTTCTCTAATCTCCTACATGGCAAAACTTCTTGAGATCCTTGTCTCCAGCCGTTGTCCACATTTCTCAAATTCTCCCCTCAACCCACCACTCTTAGTGAGGTCTCTAGTGACCTACATGTCACCCAATCCAAAGGTCACGTCTCTCTCATCTTACTTGGCTTCACTATGGCATTTGACCCAGCCAGTCACTTCCTCTTCCCTGAAATACACCCTCTTCTCTCCCACTTTATGAACATGACCTTCTCAGTCTTCCTTCCCGCTCAGTGTCCACATCTTCCCAGGCTTCTCTGTCACTCCCTCTTTCCTACTCAGCTTCTGAATGTCCGCATGGCCCTGGTTTTGATGCAGACAGGCCAGGTCCAAGGACCCAGAGGGGGTTCCGCAGGACCAGCAAGGAGGGGTCCTTGGCTTCACATAGGATGGAAATCAAACGTGAGCCAGCTGGAGGGGAAAGCAGAGTTCATTGAAGATACAGAGAAAGCAGATACACGTGGAGTGTCTGTGAGCCTCGGAAAGCAAAGAAGTATGAGTCTTTGGCGGGGTCTGGAGTCTTTATCTAGGATGGCGGTCTGGCGTACAAGTCCTCTCAGGCATCGGGAACTGGCGGAATAAAGATGAGCGCTCAGGTGTCCTCCGTAAGTCACTTGTGCCCTGGAGCCAGGGGTCTTGGGGTCAAGGTGTTTGCAGTCAGGGGTCTTGGAGAAGTTTATGACCCCACCCAGTCACTCCTTAAATGTTATCTTGTTTGATGGAAGACTCCAAAAGATCACTGACTCCTTGGGCACCTGGGTGGCTCAGTTAAGCGGCTGTCTTTGGCTTGGGTCTGGATCCCAGAGTCCTGGGATGGAGTCCTGCATCTGGCTTCCTGCTCAGCGGGGAGTCTGCTTCTCCCTCTGCCTCTCCCACCCACCCCCACCTGCTTGAGCCCACTTGTGCTCTCGCTCTCGCTCTCTCTCACAAAGTAAATCTTTTTAAAAAATCACAAAGTAAAATCTTTTTAAAAAGATTTTATTTATTTATTTGACAGAGAGAGAGAGACAGATCACAGGTAGGCAGAGCAGCAGGCAGAAAGAGAGGGGGAAGAAGGCTCCCCACTGAGCAGAGAGCCTGGATGCGGGGCTTGATCCCAGGACCCTGAGATCATGACTTGAGCCGAAGGCAGAGGACCAATACACTGAGCCACCCAGGCGCCCCAATAAATAAAATCTTAAAAAAAAAAAAAGAAAGAACTGACTCCTTGACCTTCACCCAGAGGACATACATTAAGGCCTGTGTAAGGCAGGGGTTCATGAATAGGGGCAGGAAAACGAGCAAGGAAAAAAGACTCAGATTTTTCTCTCATGGGGTCTGCTTAGTTTCCCTGTCTCGGTTTCAGTTTCCTCACTTAGAATATTTCTCTTCCAGGTTGTTGCGAGAATTGCCCAAGGTAACATACATGCACCTTAAAAAAATACCCTGCTGCCCTACCGATCCATAAATTATCATTATGCTCTCCTGCCTCATTCTGCCGTGAAAACAAGCCACTTTTCAGCTGGTTCCAGCATTCAGGGACCAAAGTCTGAGAAAGATGACCGTTTCCCACAAAGGCCGACGTGGATCTCCAGAAACCTGGATCTAAGAAAAGTCCACTGCCTCTTCTGGGGACTTAGCAATTCCTATTTTTAATTCTTTCAGCTTCAGACCTGTCAGGAGATGAAGTGTATGTGAGCATGGATATGGGACCTGCCATAGATGCAGGCAGGCATTTCCAAGATTCCTCACATCACTTATCCTTCTAGAAAATGCAGCTGTGCTTTAAATAACAGTTGGGTGACGTCATGCCCACTCCAGGGCACGCCAAAGGAGTCATGCATTCAATCAACAAACATCTGTTAAGCAGGTATTAAGTGTGTTGGTACTCTGCGAGGTACTGAGGAAGCAGCAGCAAGCAAGACAAGGTCCCTGCCCTGACCCGCTCCTTGCCTTCCGGAGGACAGCCACAAGTGACACAGAAATTGCAGCCCAGTGTGAGAGGAAGTTCAGGGGCTAGGCATCTAGGAGTACAGCAGCAGGGGCAGCTGGCCCAGCCAGGGGCCCAGCCAGGGGCAGTGGCATCAAACAAGATAACATTTAAGGAGTGACTGGGTGGGGTCATAAACTTCTCCAAGACCCCTGACTGCGAAATGAAAGGTGTCTGGGTGTCTGGTGGAGGGAAGAGCAGTGGGAAGTTCCTGAAGTGTGCAAGAGCTTGAACTTGTGAGACACAGATGGACAGAGGCTGACGTTTCAAGTGCACAGCACAGGGTGAGGACTGACTGGTCGGCACTGGAGGGGTTCTAGACCCTGCATTAAGGACCTGGGATTGTCTCCTGTGAGAGACACAGAGGGCGCCCGGAAGAGCTTAAACTGCGCAGCAGGGAGAGGTAAACACCTGCTGGAAACCTTCAGGCCTCAGCCAGGACAGAGCTCAAAGCCAGCTCTGGTCTGGCTCCAGCACGTATTTCTGAGTAGCTGGAAAGTCACTTCACCTTTTTAGACCTCTGCTGCTGCAACAAGTCAGGTTTGGACCGGGCGACCATTTAGTGTTAGTCGTCCACGCTCTCTAAGCCCAAACTATCTCCATCCCCTTCTGGGAATTCCTCCATCCCCTTAAACTCTCTCTTCCCTGTTTCTCTCCCTAGCTGGGAACACCCTGCAGGACAATCTCATTCTCATGTCTCTCCACAAGAGCTCCAAGTAGGCAGCACGGTGCCTAATACATCTATTCATGCATCTTTTTGCTAGAAGGCCCTGGAACACAGCTGTGAAAGCTTGAATGAACCACAGAACAGTCCTACACGCGGCACCTCGCTTTAGTGGTTACCGAATGCGTGCGGATCTGTGTTAGATCCCCACGACAGCGGTAGGCACTGCCATTCCGGGGAATACTATGTGCCATCTTGCTGATGAGCGGAGGAGCCTCAAAGGGGCAACTGAGCTGTGAACCGAGGCTCTAAAACCAACTGTTAATTAACTATTGTTACTTCCAGGCCAGCATTCCTTCCCCTCCCTAAAGGTCTCCAAGACCTAAGAGGATTATTCCAAGACGGCAGCTGGGTGGGCCACATGCCCACAGACTGACTGATCTGCTGCGAGGAGGCAAGGCAACCACCCCTTCCCCCCCCCCCCCCCCCCCCCCCGCCCCTCCCCCTCCCCCTCCTCCGCCCCTCCCCCCCCCCCTCCTCCCCCTCCTCATCGCGCTTTGGCAAAGACTCGCCTGCACCGCAGGCGCGGACCACGTGCCTCGCGTAAATAAGCGAGTGCGCAGGCGCACCGAGCCCGCGTCCATTGGCCCGCGCCCCGCCGCCCCTGGAGCAGGGGGAGGGACGTCGGCCCCTCTGGCCGCGGGCTGCGCACCCCTGTCAGTTGGTCCGCGCGTCCGTCGGTCGGTGCGTCCGGGCCGCCGGCTTCGCCCTCGCCATGGCACGCTGGCTACCGCTGCTGTCGCTGCTGGGGCTGCTCCTGGGCGCCGCTCCCGCCCCGCCCCGCCGAGCAGCCGACGCTCAGGCCCGGGAGGCGGCGTACCCGGCGCTGCTGGGGCCCGCCCGCTTCGCCCTGGAGATGTACAACCGCGGCCGGGCAGCCGGGACGCGGGCGACGCTGGGGGCCGTGCGCGGTCGCGTCCGCCGGGTGAGGACCGCCTGGGGTGCGGGCTTCCTGGTCCTGGTGTGCGGGGGCTCTGGTCGGAGGCTTGGGAAGTTTGGCCTGGGCCCGGGGTGGGGGCGTGGGACGAGGGACGAATTCTGGTGATCGGGAAAGGAAGGGGGGTAGGGCGGGGCTGTGGGAGGGACGGGCTGAGGAGCGAGGGATGTGTCCGCCTCACCCGTTCCTCCCTCCAGGCGGGCCAGGGGTCGCTGTTCTCCCTGAGGGCGACCCTAGAGGAGCCTCCCTGCAACGACCCCACGGTGTGCCAGCTCCCTGTGTCCAAGAAGACCCTGGTGAGTGGTAGGGCTCCTGTGACTCCTCAGTCCCCGTGATGAGTTTGGGTCAAGTGATGGAAGAGGCAGCAACTACCCCACCAGAGTCATTTCCCAAGGTTCTGCGGGCCGGAAACCAAAATGCACTTAAGAGTGGGCATGACAGGGTGCTCACTTGGCCTCACTGTGCACTGTGGGGGCTGATTGCCTTGGAGGGGATCTTCACATGAGGCGCTTCCAGCTCCACCTTGCCAAGTTCTTGCTCCGTTCCCAGCCCCCAGACTGGCTTCCTCCTCTCTCTCTAGCTCTGCAGCTTCGAAGTCTTGGACGAGCTAGGAAAACACATGCTACTGAGACGGGACTGCGGCCCAGTGGATACCAAGGTCACAGGTGCTGGGATAGCCCAAGGATGCTGGCGTAGTTCAGACCAGGCTTCACTCAGGGTTCAGCCTTGATTTCTTCTCTGTTCTAACCCTATCCAGATGACAAAAATGAGACTTTGAGTTCAGTCCTTCCGCTGTTGAACAAGGAACCCCTGCCCCAGGTGAGGAGCCCAGCTCCATCTGGCAGGGGGCTGCTGCTTTATTTCCTTTTCTCTTTCCCTCCCCCTGGCCTGGGCTTCCTGGTGAATCTGTGAAAGATTCCTTGTAAAGACCCGTGTGCCTCTTACAGGATTTTTCTGTGAAAATGGCTTCAATCTTCAAGGAGTTCGTTACCACCTATAATCGGACGTATGAGTCGAAGGAGGGTGAGGACCCTGCCTTGGCTGTACCTGTCCCAATCAAATGAGGACCTTACCCCCTTTGGTACCTTGGTGTTGGGGAGGAGAAGGACACAAGAGGCAGTGCATCCATTCAGGGACCCCTTAAATCCCCAAGTTCTTGCCCAGCCTCATACGACTGGACAGCTGCCTCAGGGACTTGTCCCCTTCTCCCATATTTTTTTCTTGACCAGAAAGCATGGGTCTTCATCATTCTGGGTAGAATGGGAAGGGGCAAAGGCCAGATTTTCTCCGCTGGTACCCCCATCTCCCCAGCATGGTAGTCTTTTCCCATGACCTCTTGTCTGAGGATACCCTTTGGAGCCCATTTTGCTTCTGCTTTCACTCCTGGGATACCATCAATTCAGTGTGACCCAAAAAATTGTTCCCACCTCCCCCTCATCACTCACAGGTCCGGACCTCTCCTCACCTCCAGACCTCCCCAGAGTTCTGTCCTTGAAAAGAGCTTGAGGCCTGATTCAGAGCCCACCTACTCCCCAGGGAAACCTTGTGCTTGTTAGTCCCAAGTGCCTTTTATCATCTGCCTGGGGTCCAAACCTTTCCTCTCCTGCTCCTTTCTTTCTCAGAAACCCAGTGGCGCATGTCTGTCTTTTCCAACAACATGATGCGAGCACAGAAGATCCAGGCACTGGACCGTGGCACAGCTCAGTATGGGGTCACCAAGTTCAGTGACCTTACAGGTAGCAGTGGTGGCCAGAGCCCTCATGGAGCCTGGAAGAGTCAGGGTCTCCTCCTAAGGCCCCTGATCAGGGCTGCCTTATACTTTTCCCCATACCCCCCATCCCCTGCCCACCTTTGCCCACAGAGGAGGAGTTCCATACCATCTACCTGAATCCCCTCTTAAGAGAGAACCATGGCGAGAAGATGCGCCTAGACAAGTCCACTGGCGACTCTGCCCCATCCGAGTGGGACTGGAGGAGAAAGGGGGCTGTCACCAAAGTCAAGAACCAGGTCGGATCTCTAAGAGGCAATGGCGGGACACGAGGACTGCACTGGGGTGCGGAGGGGGCTCCGGTCTGACTCTGCCCCTCTCTTGCAGGGCATGTGTGGCTCCTGCTGGGCTTTCTCAGTCACCGGCAATGTGGAGGGCCAGTGGTTCCTGAAACAGGGGGCCCTGCTCTCCCTCTCCGAGCAGGGTGAGCATCCTACTCGACGCCCCTGCCCCCTGGCCAGCCCCTCCAGAGGGCTCCTCAGGACCAGGCTTCTGTCTCCTAGAGCTCTTGGACTGTGACAAGGTGGACAAGGCCTGCCTGGGTGGCTTGCCCTCCAATGCCTACTCGGCCATAAAGACTCTGGGTATGCATTCATGGGGTCAGGAGGGGCAGTGGGGGTCAGTGCAATTCACTGGTTCGGGTGTTGATGTTGAGCCTTAATGAAAACCTTCAGCAAGTCAACTCTGTGAAATGGGGCTCATCTTGACCACTTCCCATGGTTGCTCTGAGTATCAAGTGAGGAGATGATACATAAAGTCCTTGGTACACAGCAGGGGTCTTGGTATTTTTGCTGCTTGGAGGTCTATATTTCTGTAACAACATAACCTCATTCTTGAGGAGGTATTGACTTAAACTGGCAATTCAGTTCCGTGGTGGGCTTCAGCGGCCCAGGGATGAAAGTCTGAGGGACTGGAGTGGCTGTGCAGAGACTGGGAGCCCAGCAGGGGTCTGGGCCACACTGGGAGCAGACTGTCTGAGCAGGGCAAGCCAGCCAAGGCAAAGAGCCCTAGGAGTTCTGGGATGAGTAAGGATCAGAAGTTGGGCATCGAGTCTCGTCTCAGCCATATTTCTCCCTGGTTCCTCCCTCAGCCCCCTTAGTCTCTGTTTCCTCATCTCTAGAGGGAGGCTGTTGGTCAGAGGCCAGGGCCTTGGTCTGGGGTGGGCGAGGACCTTGAGACCTCGCAGAAGGGGCTGAGTGTGGCCCCCGGCCTGGAGAAGACGAGTGTGTGGCACACAGGGGTCCCTATTTTCTTTCCCGGCGCCATCCGACCCCGCCACTCCCCAGGGGGGCTGGAGACGGAGGACGACTACAGTTACCGCGGCCGCATGCAGACCTGCGGTTTCTCTCCAAAGAAGGCGAGGGTCTACATCAATGACTCAGTGGAGCTGAGCCAGAATGAGGAGAGTGAGTAAGGGCCAGGGCGAGGGTGGGGGCAGGCCGGCTGCGGCCTGGCTGTCCCTGACGCGGTCCCTCACGTGTCTCAGAGCTGGCGGCCTGGCTGGCGGAGAAGGGCCCCATCTCCGTCGCCATCAATGCCTTTGGCATGCAGGTAAGGCCCCGGCTCTGCTGCCTCTGCCCATCCCTGGCCAGCTCCCTTCCCACCTCTCCTTGGAGGTGGCCCCCTACTCTTTATTCTCCCCACCCCCAGTTCTACCGCCATGGGATCTCGCACCCACTGCGGCCCCTCTGCAGCCCTTGGCTCATCGACCACGCTGTGTTGCTCGTGGGCTACGGCAACCGTGAGTTCCACTGACCACCCCCCTGTCCTCTGCCCAGCCGCTTCGCGTCATGGGCAGGAGTTGGGCCACAGCCTCTCAGGACCTCTGGATGGGGAAAAGGAGGGAGTGCCTGGGAACCCTGTCCTTACCCCGCTGTGGGTCTTGGACCAGGCAGGAGTCCTCTGTCCCTTCTCTGATGGGAATGCTGAGGCAGTGGGAGGTAGAACTGTTTCAGATAAGTAACCTGCTGGTGGGGAGGGAGCTGGGTGTCCTCCGCTGACCCCAAAGCCACACCAGGTCTCTGGGAGGGTGGTAGGTGGGCCTGTCTGGCTTTCTGCTCTTTTCCTAGTACCTGTCCCAGTAGACCACAGCAGATACTGGGAGAGTGCAAAGGGCTGGGAGCCCTGACCTGCACCCCGCACTGCTCCCCAGGCTCTGGCATTCCCTTCTGGGCCATCAAGAACAGCTGGGGCTCAGACTGGGGCGAGGAGGTGAGTCTGGTCTTCCTGGCCCGGGCCCGCCCACCCTGGTCCTGCCTGAGCGCCCTCACCAGCCCCCTTGCCTTCCCGCCAGGGTTACTACTACTTGCATCGTGGGTCTGGGGCCTGCGGTGTGAACACCATGGCCAGCTCGGCAGTGGTGAACTGAGGAGCACCAGCGCGGGACCTGGTGCTGACCAGAGCAGCCCCTTCCTCAGCCTGGCCTGCGTGTCCAGGCCTCTTCCCAGGAGGCACAGCTGGCTGAGGGACAGGCACCGGGTACCTCAGGGTGAGCAAAAGGCACTGGGCTAGGACAACACCCCTACCCCCTTCTCCCCCCCCACCCTACCCTGAAGTTCCCCAGCGGCACCTTTGTTGACTTGTGGTAGCTAGGAGGCCCTTGGGCCAAAGGAGGGTGTCCTGGCAGCTGAGGCTGGGGCAAGAACCTTGGGCTTGTGTAAGGAGCAGGTGGGAAGAAGATACTCTGGTTTTAAACCCAGCTTTGTTCTCAGCAGGCTCTGGCTTCCTGCCCTACCTTTCCTCTGTCTGATGCTATACATTTTCTGGTTCCCCCTGGGTTTGGGGACATTGTTTCCTTCCACATCTAGAGAAACTATTGTAACTGCCTTTTTCTAACAGCAATAAAGAGGTGTCCTAAGCCCCAGTGTGGTGTGAGTGCTTGGTACCTAAGGGAAAAGAGGAGTGATGGGGACTCCTGGAGGGTCGAGGTTGGGCAGCTGGTCCTGCCCAGGAGCCTAAGGGCCCAGTTTCTGCTTCGGGGGCCAAAAGAAGAAGAAAGAGAGGCTCACGGATGGGTCTTTATTCAGAAGGGCATGGTTGGCCGTTCTCTGAGGCCCTTGCTCCGAGACATGGATGGGATCAGCCAGAGGGAGCTCCCTCTCCCTCTGACTCCTGCAGAGACCCTTTGAGGTTGTGGTCAGAGGTCACTCTCCCCGTAGAGGGCACTGGAGAAGGCCACGTAGTCCAGGGCTCCAGCTGGAGCCCCAGAGCCCTTGTAGGGCGCCATACGACGGATGCAGTACTCGGCCTGCTCAGTGGGGAGCTCCCGCCGCAGCTCTTCGGGAGTGATGTAGTTCTGGGGGAGAAAGGGTTGTTGAGGATCCACAGACCCTGGTCCCTGTCACAGCCTCCCAGACCCCTCCACCACCGGGACTCACCTTATCTCCTGCCAGGATCTTGAAGGAGGCCACAACTTGTTCAGCTGTGTCGGTTTCAGCTGTCTCTCGGGTCATGAAGTCGATGAATGCCTGGAAGGTCACGACGCCAGTTGCGTTGGGGTCCACCATGGTCATGATGCGAGCAAACTCCACCTCTCCCTGTAGGGACAGAGGCCAGACACCGTGTCTGTCGTGGGTGCTAAAGCCAGAAAGCTCCTCATGTCCCCTTGGGGCACTGTCTAGCTCTGGCTTGACAGCCCGGGTTACAAAGTGCTCTCTTCCCTCCTTGGACTGTGCCACAGCCTTGGCTCTGGGTGTACGGGGAATCCTCTCTACTCAGCTGAAACCTGCCTCTTGCCCCTGGCAATGCCCCCTGTTGTCCTTGGGTCCTGATCTTTTTTCTGGAGCTCTCTGTAGTGCTGTTTCTCCGGGTAAAAATGTGGTAAGCTCAGGCTTTTGGGTCACCTACAACCAAGTCCAAATCCTAGCTGCGTCCTTGAGAAAGTTAATTTACCTGAGCCTTTGACAGCCCCTATGAGAAATGGGGTCATTCTGCCCAGCCTCAGTGGGCACGCTGAGAATGAAACGCATGTGAAGGTGGGAGGGATACAGTAGGTGATCACGGTGTAGGAGAGAGGCACTGATGGGACTCCTGTGACAAAGGTTGGGGGCACTCACCAGGTCATACCCCATGGAGATGAGGCAAGCCCGGAAGTCATCAGGCTCCATCATTCCGTTCCGCTTCTGTGGCACACGAGTGATTATCAGACTTGGTTGTCCAACCCCACCAGCCCCCAAGTCCACCACCCCACAGAGGTGGGCCCCTGCTGACCCGGTCAAAGTGGTTGAAGGATGCCCGGAACTCATTGAGCTGCTCCTGGCTCAGGCCCTTGGCATCTCGGGTCAATACCTGGTTCTCCACCTCATTGATAGTGCGGGCGATGGAGGTGAGCAGCTGCTCCCAGCCTACGCGGATGTGCTGGGAAACAAGTGACGAGCCAAGTCAGTAGGCAGCCGGCGCCTGGCCGCCAGGTCGAGCTTCACTCCCAGTCTGCTGTGTGACCTGCGCAAGTCTTCCTCTCTGTTGGGCCTTTGTCCCTATCTGGAGGTTCCCTATGTGCTGAGTGACCGTCCACAGCCCTTCCTGCCTTGAAGTTTGAGAAATTACTATGCACTAAGTGTTGATCCCCCAGTCCTGGCCAGTCCTGGCCTGGCTTCAGATGGCTATGTGACTCTGGACAGGTCAGTTTCGCTCGCTAGATCTCAGTATCCCTGCGGGCGCCCTGGGGGACCCAGCCAGGCTGAACTGGGGTCCCCCCTGGGGCACACGTGCTGGGTCCCACCATGGTTGCCCTGGGCTTCCCCAGCCAGCACCGCCTCCCCGCCCCCTCTAAGCTGGTGCCTCTCACCTCCATGCTGTAGACCGTGTGCTTGTTGTCGAACACCAGGCTCTCCTGCAGCAGCTGGTGGTCCCCCTCCAGCCGGTCAATGTTGCTCTTGTAGTTGATGATGTTCTGCTCCTGCTGCCGCAGCGCAGCCATCTGGTCCTCCAGAGAGCCGACCATCCCTGTGGCCAGGCGCCCCACCTCCTGTTGGGGGACACAGGCAGGATAAGCCTCCCAGGCCCCCGTGGCCCCGGCCCTGGCCTCACTCCCCGAGACGGCCCCACCCTCCGAGCCTTACCTCCACCTTCCCCTGGATCCAGGGCCCGATGGCATTGGCTTGAGCAGCAAACTGTCGCCGGAGCCTCTCGTTCAGCTGCTGCTGGGCAAGCTCTTCCTGCAGCGTCTGGTCCCGGCTGGGCACCAGCTTTCGGACCTAGGAGGAAGGTGCTATGTGCCTGGGGCAGCTCTGGGAGCCAGAGGATCGCTTGGAGGGGAGATGGGTTCCATCCCCTAGAAGAGCCACTGCTACTCGGAGCCAACATGTCTGGGCTCATAAGGACAAGCTCTTGGGCAAGTCACATGACATCCAGGTTTGTTTCCTCATCTGTAAAATGGGGCCAGTGATACAACGAGATGTCCATACCCCAGGCTTAATTCTACTTCACATCAGGCCCTACAGGAAAACGCTGCTGTTAGGGCCATTTTGCAGAGGAGGCCGTGAGAGGCAGGGCGATATATCCAAAGCCCCATGGAGGCTATGACAGACCCCAGATCCGAAGGTGGACTAGAGTCTGCATAGCTCGGGACGCCTGAGGTTCCGAGGTGGTTAGAACACACAGGGCTGGGTGGGAGGCAGGGAGTGGTCACGGGCAGCACTGACCATTTCCCACTTGGTGTTGATGTCCTGTGGTGTGAGGCTGATGTAGGGGTTGGTGGTGCTGGGCCGCAACCCGTACGTTTGGCAGATCTTCTGGATCTCCCCCTGGATCCCCAGGATGGCTCCTCGCTCTCGGTCAGCCTCCGGCAACGTAGCTTTGAATTGCTCGTGTGCAGTCATCAGGCTCTGCGCACGGCAGGCGGGAGGCGTGAGCCAGCACCCTCCAGTTCCCGCAGCCCACGTGCTGCAGGCGCCCCAGGGGGTCCGCAGCGGGCCTCCTGTCTCCCAGCCTAGCACCTGGGGACTGGGGCTTCCCTCTTATCTCCGTGCCCCAGGCACCCAAAGAAAGGGCTGACGGGAGTCGAGGCCCGCTTCCCTGTCACCCCATCCAGCACCCCCCAACCTGGAACCCTGCATCCACCTGGGTCTCCTCCACCGAGTGCACCAGCCACACGTCCTGCAGGTCCTCCACGGCCCCGTCCAGCCAGTTGTTGAAGGGCGCTGCCCGCCGGGCAAACTCCAGCTGCAGCTGGTCGATGGTCTCCAGGAGCTTCTCCATCCGCTAGGGGCCACAGGGATGGCGAGTCAGCAGCCCGCCCACCTGGCCCCGCACCAGCTCCAGTCTCCAGCTCCCTGGCTCCCAAACCCACCTCCAGGGTGTCCCTCCTCTTCTGGGTCAGTGTGCCCAGGGTGTCCCACTGGTCGCAGATGGCCTGGCAGCGGCTATTCACGGAGGCCGCCTCATGGTAGTCCAGCTCGCTGCGGGCCAGAAAGGGGATGAGGAGGGGGTCAGACCACAGCCTAGATTTCCCGGACTACCGTCCTGGGGCTGGAAACTGTGCACCAGATGGTGAGGGCGCAAGGGAGTCAGGCAGGCAGGTGTGGGTGACACAGGACATTCATTCCTGGGGGCTAGAGGTGGGGGTTCCAGTGTCTTCGTTGGGTAGGGGGCGCACGTGGGTCCTGAGCTCCAGTCCCTTGTGGAGCGTCAGTGGGGAGTGGGGGGTGCGACGATGCGAGAAGGGGCGGGTTTAGAGGAGGAGGTGGGGAAGCCAGGGATGGTGGGGAGATTTTGAGCTAGCAGGCCAGGGACCGCAGCTGAAGGGGGCCACCAGGTTAGGGCCGTGGGGGTAGGGCAACAGGGAGGGAAGAGTGTGGGTGCCGCATCGGGGACAGGGTTGGGGGGGGAGCAGAGCAAGTGGTGATGGGGAAAGACGTGGCACCCAGGCAGGGTTCCTGAACTGGGAAGAACGAGGTCTTGCGTAGGGCAGTGGGGAGCAGGGCAGCGAGGGGCAAAGCCAGGTAAGGTAGTTGTCCCCCGCCCGCCCCCAGGGAGGGGCAGGCCCAGAGGCAGGCCACGCCTACTTGAGCTCCTGGGCCAGCGCCGCGATGTGCTCTACTCGGTCCTGGTGCGCAGCCAGGTCACTCTCAAAGGCCTCGTGGCGCCGCAGCAGCGCCCGAACCTCCTGCAGGGAGGCCGACTCGTAGTCGCGCTGGCTCAGCGCATCCTCCTTTCCTACTCGGAGAGAGGCCCGGCTAGGGTCACCCAGCGGCAGCCAAGGCGGGAGCTGGGTTTTGGAGCAGTCTGGGTGACCGTGCAGAGGCCTCCCTCATCTGCGAAATGCAGGTGGTTACACCTGCCCAGCTCATCCTAGGGCTCTGTTCTGATATGCCAGAGTGATAAAGGGAAGGTCCTGGGCATGACCTGTAAATGACGTCAGCGTCCCTGATCCCGCACATCTCACGGTGGCCCTTGGTACACTTTGGGCCTTCCGGGATCGTGAACTACCTCCCAAAGACTCTGAGCCCAGGGAGCCCATGAGCTGGTTTCCCCGGCTCACCAGGTTCTCCAGAGCCTGGCACAGTGCCTGCCACTTGGTAGACCTTCTAGGAATACTTGTTGGATGAATGAATGATGAATGTGAAAGTGCTATGAGAATGAATTACATTACACAAATAAAACCATAATGATAATAATCGCAGCCCCTACTATTTATGGAATGCTCCTGTATTTTGCAGAGATGCTACGAGGCTTAAAGATTCAGAAACTGCGGCGCCTGGGTGGCTCAGTGGGTTAAAGCCTCTGCCTTCGGCTCAGGTCATGATCCCGGGGTCCTGGGATCGAGCCCCGAGTCGGGCTCTCTGCTCAAGGGGAGCCTGCTTCCCTTCCTCCCTCTCTGCCTGCCTCTCTGCCAAACCCACTGAGCCACCCAGGCGCCCCATA